TGTTTAGTTGAGGTCGAGGTGCTCGAATCTGCCGTGGGGAGATAGTCTCGACGTACCGAGTTTCCCGGTAGAGGAGAGTACCCGACGGAAACGTCTCCACGGACCGGCAGAAGGCCGGGTGAGATACCGGCGGCCCGCTGGAGATGGGCAAAGGGCTGTAGAGCGGGCGGAGGAAGTTTTGATATGGTTAAGGGCAGGAGAGGAACCTCTTGCCCGAGTTAAGGATGTGGTGCCCAGCTCCCGCCCGATGCCCTGGGGAAGCGGCCGTGAAGGATCTCCAGATGATACGTACCGATTCGTTAAGGAACGCTCTCGATTTGGTTTAAAGGGACGACTCGAAGGAGACAGAAGAGTTATCGGTTATAAGGCTCTCGACCAATCAGAATGATTAGTTCTCGGATTTGGCTATTGTCAAAGCAGTCTGTCTCGGGGCACCGACCGAGGTGTCACGGGGGACATCGCGCTCCCGTGCTATCTGTTTATAGTTTTTCTTGCCGTGTTTCGCTACAGTTGCTCCCGTGCTATCTGTTGATAGTTTTTCTTGCCGTGTTTCGCTACGGTATAGCAAATTCTCGATTCGTATAGTTCTCGCGTTGTTCTCGCGATATCCACGCAATTCTATGAATTCCTGCGAGTGTTACGGAGGTGTAGTGCTGTGCCTTAGTGCAGTGCTCCCCAAATTGTCCTTTGGATACAGTTCTCGGCCTCCACGGATTAGCTGCAACAGCTCCGGTGAGGGGGCACCGACCGAGGTGTCACGGGCTGGCTCGTGCTCCCGTGCTATCTGTTGATAGTTTTTCTTGCCGTGTTTCGCTACGGTATAGCAAATTCTCGATTCGTATAGTTCTCGCGTTGTTCTCGCGATATCCACGCAATTCTATGAATTCCTGCGAGTGTTACGGAGGTGTAGTGCTGTGCCTTAGTGCAGTGCTCCCCAAATTGTCCTTTGGATACAGTTCTCGGCCTCCACGGATTAGCTGCAACAGCTCCAGTAAGGACTCCCAATTTATTAATTGGTGAAGGGATCTCGATAGATAGTTAAGATTCGTTCTGATACGTTCTCGGTTCGTCGTTCTGTGTCTCTCGCACTATTTGCCGGACTCTTACTCCGACCCTCTCTACCTCAAACCTAGCAGCCTGAGCGGCCGTGCATTTCCGTAACCGTCCGCTCCCGTTCGTGTATCCAGTTGCGTTTGCTGATTTTACGCGACCCCAAAGATCAGCACCTACGGTTGCGTTTCTCGATTTTACGCGTCCCCAAAAATCGACAGGATCCGTTAAGTTATCGACTCGTCTGATAGGTTCCGTCAGAGCTCTCGTTCTTGGTGGAGTTGGGCCTGTTCCACCCCAACTCCCAGTTTATACCGGCTCGTCAGTTCCCGGTGAAAAAAGAATTGGCTGGCGCCCGCCTGGCTTGCGGATGCACGAACGAAGGGTGGACGGCCGAAGGTAACGTAGGTTGGTTCTCGAAGATAGTTCGCTCTCGTATGTTTTGCTATCGGTGTCGGGTCATAAGTTAGAAGTTACGTTACAACTGGAAAATAGTAACATTTTTTAAAAACAGAATAACTTGTTTGCCAATACACTCGTGTAGAAATTTCCCGGGCACACCCGATTCTCGAAAAGGTCCTTTACTGATGAAATCGTGGAAGCTATGTATCCGTAAAATAAATTTGGAGCTAGTCAAGTCCTGACACTGGCTGTCTACGAGAAATCATGGTTATTTTTTTTTTATGAATTTGCCTAGTGCAAATTTTCTGTCATGTCCAGAGCCCGTCTAGGTCCCTCGACGTGCTTTCGATTTTCATAATGATATTTCTAATAGGAATTCTTATTAGTACCCAATGTGGTCCTGACATGGAAAATTCTAATTCAATAAGTATGGCTACAGGGTGTCTAATGTAGCGCACGCTTATTTTCGTGTAGTACGATTCCATAGAACTTTAAATAACTAATTCATTTATGTATCAACTAATCACAGAATAAGAATTATAAATAATAGATGTATTTTAATAATTTTATTATAGAAAGTTTTATAACTTACCATTATATTTATGACGTAAAAGAGAATAGGGCTTAACACATTTTATAAGCATAGATGAACATATTTAATGCGTTTTATATGAGAAAATATACCCATTTTTAACATTGCCCTGCGTGTCTAATATGATACAGATCGGCACTCGCTGGTTTCGTCGGGTACTACGTTGGATTTGATATTATGAAAGATAATAAAAGTTGTTTTCTCAATTGAATTATTATTTTTTATACCGAAAGACTACTTTTTATAATATTTTATTCGTTAGCAAACTTAACCTAATAGTGATATGCAATAAATCCATTGAGTCAGATTAAAAAATATACTTAAATTTTATATTGAATTTATTCATATATGTATGCTTTCAGTTCTATGCCTTGCAATGTACGTTTCAACCAAGAAATTCAAATAAATTCTTCTCAAAATATATTTCCTTTTAAAATATATTGTGACGTCTGAATAACGATCGCATGCTATCGATAAAGCGGACATGGAGGGACCGATTGGCTTTACTGTACCGATTTTAAAATGATGTTTAGGGTGAAACCTTCGAAGTTTAACCCGAGATCGACCTATTACTTGCGCCCAAAGTAGAGTATAAATACTTCTAGAAGGTAGTGTATAATACTTCTAACGATAGAAATATCCCTAAATTCAAAATTAAAGTTATCAACAGAATAGAGATAAATGGATAGTGGTTGTGAAGTATTGAAATATCAACTGAATTGCATATGCCAATATTTAACTACAGCAACTGGAATTATTACGGAATCCGACGGAATTGAATTCTTACGGAGTGATGTACTCGATCGTAAGTAGGGGGCTTGAGAAATCGAAGGTTGATCAAGATAATGACGTCTTTAAGGATTAGTGAAAACAGTTTATAATAAAATCAACACAATATTTAAATTAAAATAAAATAAAGTAAATTACGTTTATTGAGAACGTTCTTAATAAAGTGTATAAGTTTGAGCAACAGAAGTTTTCGGACTTTGAATCAGCGAGAAAAGACTTAGGAGTTTCAAAATTGCACGGAGAGAATGTTTCATTATAAATTATCGTGAAACTCACGGTAACCACGGGACATCATGGCATTTCTTAACATATTACCTATATATTTCAGAACAATTGACGAAAACATACTATAAAGTAAGCATATCACGTTAGCTTTTACTGAAGTATACAGTAAACATTTTGAAATTTAAAAATATGTAGTGTGAAACTATAGCTTTTACTTTATTAAATTTAAAAAGTCATCTAAAATAGTCAAATTATCTCGTGCACTAGAATCAATTTTACCGTGGAGTGCATTACTTTTCATACTTTTGAAGTCAACCACGTAAATCACTGTGACTTTTGCTTCCTCGTAGAGGAAGTTATGTGACGGTGGAAAATGTTCCTGTCGAGATTTTCATGTCACTATGTTCAGAATGTGGCAAAATGTCGAGAAAACACGTTTTGAGAAAATGTCCGTGTGTGTGTGCGTGTGCGTATGCGCGCGCGCGCGCGCGTGTGAGTGTGTGTGTGTGCAATGGCCTCCCAAAATTCAAACGTGTATAACTCGAGAACGGTTTTAGATACAGCCCCCTAATTTTGCAGGCATATGCAGCTCTACAACGCCTTCAATGACTATAATTTTCGTCATGATCCAAGCTGCGGTTCGGATTTTATGTCGTTTTCAAATTCCCAAAAAAAGGACGTTATCACTCTAGCGATCGCAAATTTTGTGATAATCGTCTAAATAGTTCTTGACAAAGAGATTTGTATCCAAGGTTGGTTAGTATTGCATTTGGGTCAAATCCATCGAGAAGTTTTGATTTCATGATCATTTGAATTTTTCGAAAAATTAAATTTATCAATATAACTCCCGTCAACTTTAACCGATTGAGCTCCAATTTTCGAAAAGTATAGAGTATTATTTAGCCGTGATATGTCTCAATTTTGGAGGAGATCGGTAAAACGGATCTGATTATACATATATTCAAGTTTTTTCAGCCAATTCAAAAATATTAGGCCCGAAGAGATTATACAAGAGATTTATCCTTACATGCGTTCTCTACAGTATGAAGCACCCCAAGTTGTGAGAGGCATAGGGACTCACGTTAAACAAGCTGCAAGTTGAAATTTGCAATTTGCTTCCTCTGAATCGTCGGTAATAGATTCATCTATGAGGAATCCAAAGATTAAAAAAAATGAAAATGCTTTCTCATATAGGGACTTCGTACACTACCTACGATTCAACGGAAGCAAATTGCCAGTTTCAACTTCCTACTTGTTTTAGTTTTTGTATATTTTTCAAATGTATGGTTGGGTTGTTAAACATTCAATACGTATAAGCAATGGTACCTAATATGTTGTTAAGAAATGGTATTAATTTAATAAATTGTTATTTAATTTATATTTATTTGATTTAGTTATTCTCTTACATATGTGCAGAGAATTAAAAATAAGTATTCGAAAAACGTAATTCATGTTAATAAATGTAGATTTATCGAACAGTCGAAATATGATTCTACCGTAGAGATGAATGAGCTAACTTCAGCTGATGCGATGCTCCTAAATAGCACTATATGTTTTGCGATTGTGTGAAAATATTAATCAGTTTTTGGTTATATCAAACAGATTTTATTTGTCATACAACAGAAAATTTAATATTGAGTCAGGTAAATTTTGCGCTGTAACGCAGTAAAAATTCCCAATAATATTTACCGTGTGCATTGTATCGTGTATTATAAGCAATAATTAATGAAATAGTAACGATGTCCCATGATTACTGGTTTTTATGGTAAATTTTATCGTGAATTTTATAGGATTAATTACCGAAAAATTCTCTCCGTGTATATATCAGAATAATAATATTATATAACACACTTTGATAAAAATTTGTTAATGTGCATGACAGCTACTCTAAACTGTCTGAATACTCAGTTCTATCAGGGCAATTCTTGACAGGTTATGATTCTGGACATAAAGTTGCGTAAGTACTGTGGTTAGATTATACAAATACCAGTATCTCATAACATGCGTTAGTTTATTTCTATAAGACTAAAACTATACGATAATTGGATAGAATAATCCTACATATCCAAATACACTATATTTATGTTAATTTAATAAAAAATATCAATTACACCAAATACAATAGTAATTGCTTGAACTTGTTTTGTATTTATTCCGAATGATTGAATATTCAGTAAAAATTATTGCAAATTACGATTGAAATAATTATTTCAATAATTTCCAAATACGATTATCTGCCGGCAACCGCTATGTGCGGTTAAATGAACTAAAATTCGGTTGACGCTTCAAAATAATTCTCTCAATGCAGTTTATACTGGCTCTGCAAATTTAACACAAATTCTATTACTTTCGCTTCGATTAAGAATATCTGTAAAGGTTATACTATTTAAGATATATTTAATATTGCAAATTCAAAGTAGCCATTAGAGTTCTTTAGCCCCTTTAAACATTTTGAGTACCGTTTTGCGACTTAAGTTCTGGTAAAATGATTTCATTTCAGTTAGTGCCGGTCAGTTGGTAAATGGTAGAAAAAAAGAAAAGCCCCAAGCGTGTCTCACCTTGAGCCTCTCGGATGGACTTGATATTGCCTTCACCTTTCCAGAAGGCATGAAAGTCGGACGTTATATCTGTGACTTCGTCGTCAATAGCCAACCAGGTTTCATCGTCAATGGAAGGTCTGCTTTGTTCTGCATCATCCACTTCACTCTGTGATTGTCCTTCCTCCTGTTTGTCTTTGTCTAGCGTGTCCGATAAGCGCCAAGGTAATCGTGGATTTTCTGATTCTTCACTTTTCGAGTAGCTCTGCTCACTATCTCTGTGTAATGAACAATCCAAAATCTCTCTCTCTCTCTCTCTCTCTCTCTCTCTCTCTCTCTCTCTCTCTCTCTCTCTATCTATCTTTCTCGCCTCCCCGTCTCTCAATCTTTCTCCCTTTTGCAATCACACACATGTAAAATGTAGAAACATGCTTGGAAGCTAGAAAGTCATATTTTAATCTAGTATTACTACTTTTTAGGAAAAAATAATTAAGGAATTTAAAACCATGCTTACAGTTTACCTTCGTTCGAAAAGTAAGTTTTTTTTTTTAAATTTTGGAATCAAAACTATTCCGTATGCGACAGTAGGGTTAAGAAGGTCTACTCGCTGTACATTAGTGATATGAAAACTGTAACACTAATTCACAAAAAAAAACTATACATTTTTGAGGTACTCCAAGAATTATACACGGAAAAAAGGGGAACAGCAATGATTACTAGTCTGGTTAGCAGTGAGTCCCATTTTGCAGCTAAGTATTCATTACTAACTGATCCAGTAAGAAATACCTTCGGAACAGTGCCCTCTGAAAATGAAAAATGATATTCTACGCTATTTGTTGCCTATTGTCTATACTACCTGAAACTCGCTGCTAACAAGACCAGTAATCATTACTGATCCTTTTTTGTGTATTATCAAAGCAATTTAAATTCAACGCAAATAAATTACAAAGACACATATTCAAACGAAAAAAAAAAATATAAATATTTGATATCTGATTTATTTAATCGTTATCCTATACGTACAACGCGTCACATTAGTCGTAAAATTAGATCATCACTATATCCGAATCGGTGGTGGAAAAAACAAGGAAATTTGTTTCTAAACCAAACGAAAACAATGGCTAGTAAAGTGTTTAATTTAACGCAAATACAACATTGTCAATTCTACACGACAATTTAATCACGTATCTGCAGGTATCGATCTTATATAATTGTTTATTAATTTCTTTCCAATTTGTCGGTAAGCCAAAATATAAAAAAAATATAAAAAATATATAAGCCAAAAATATACCGTATTTATAAAATAAAATAAAATGGACCTTTCTTGAATAAAAAAAATAATTTGTACATTTTTTTGTTAATAATTATTGTTATATGATTGATAAAAATGATTGAAAAATATAATTGAAAAGTTGATATAAAATTCAATTTTGGGACTTGTTGGGACTTTTTTCTGCTTCTTATAATTTTTTATATCCATTTACTAAAAACCATACAGCATTTTCTGAAAGGTTGGATTTAAAATTTTTTAGAAATTCATAGAATGTCTTGACGTAATATTAAATTATGGAGACCGAGCTGAAAGGATTGAAAAAACTGGTTGAATTGGCAAAAACTACATAATTGAATATTAATATTATTCAAAACAACTAGTGAACATCCAGATTCTTCATAAGACATCGTGTTATTATTATTTATGACATAATTCGAATTTTTTTTCAAATAGTCGGTAATAGTATTTTATGCGGTTGTTCACACATATTTTACTGGTCGGCTAGAATTTTTCCCAAACTCAACCGATTATAAATTAAAACATTTGTATTATATTTTTTTTTACTCATGCATGCAAAATCCTCATTTGCATGGATTTTCACAGAAATCCAAAATAACTGATTACCGCACAGTGCCCAAAGGCAGTGCGCAATGTGAATGTACCAGTGAGCAAATAGTACATTTAGACTCTTTATACTACAGATGTATATATTGTGACGCAATTTTTATACTTCAACTTATTCGCCAGTGCTATAAAACTGAGACTAAAGCGTAATCTAACCCCAAAGTCTACTCGCCGAGACGCAGCTATACTAGCCGATACAAGTCTGGCTAGACATACCGGCAATACGTAGCGAGAGGTGAGGTGTAGTCCATGGCGCTGTACTTTGTAATTGGCCCTCCGTACTCTACTTCGGGCAGGGTCCATCCAGGGTGGAGTCGTCAGGCATCGGCAACAGCTCTCCACGTTCCTTGGCGTAGGTCTGGCAAGTCCTCTTTTGGTGGCTTGTTATTTCGTGATGACTCGGTACGGTGTCGTATTCGCGATTTATGAAATAAGGTACAATTTGGAATTAGCTTAAAGTTCGATAGCTAGTCTATGAGCCTGGAGTTCTTAGCCGGTATCGTGCTGGGTTGCCAGAAAAAGGGACGGAACTGCGTCCCGCCATTGAAACACGCGAGTTACTCTTCCAGAGTCTTGTGACGGTATAAAATAACGTCACAATATATACGTATATATATATACTTTATATTAAACTCTTTTATACTACAGATGTATACTACATATACAGATACAGATCCCCCAATGATACAAGTGGGGGAAGTCGGTGATTCTTGACGAGTGTGGACGTTGCCACCCTCGCTTCGCTCGGCCGGCAAACATCACACGAGTAGGAATCACCAACCCGCACGCGTATCATATACTATTTTTTGCAACAATGTACGGAAAGTTCGCAGGATATGTACCAAAAAGAAGCACGAAATGGCAGATTCTTAAAGAGTTCAGAGTGTGCGAACTTTTCAAGAATGGACCATTTTGTGCTTGTTTTTTGGTGCACAAATTGTATACATTCCGTACAGCGTTGCAAAATGAGTATATTATAATACAAATGCGGACAGTTGGTGATTGCTGGCAAATGTCACACGAGTAGGAATCACCAACCCGCACACGTATCATATACTATTTTTTGCAACAATGAATCATTGATGTCTGATATTAATACACAGTGCAACATGTTATGATTCCCGCACGCTCTGATCAAGAATGGATCATTTTGTGCTTGTTTTTGTACAAAACTGCGAACTTTCCGTACAGTGTTGCAAAAAATAGTGTTGGATACAAGAGGCCAAACGAGCGTTTCGCGCACTGCGAGTCTGAAGGCAGCACGAAGCTGAGTGAAGCCGAGGCTGAAATATACTATTCCAGATACAAAAATTTTACCATCCAGTATGGTAAAATATATTAGGAGCAATATCTTAAATTTCTCTTTTTTGGAGTAATATTGTACGGCATTCTACTGTATACCAGGTTTACGCCACATTACACTAGAATTTTTATTAGAAAATTCTCTCCGTACAGAATTAAGAACTTGAAGTACAATATGTATTCAAATTTGGGAATTTCTCTAAAAATGAAAACAGCGAGTAGGCCTTCCAAAATACTTTTGTGGGCAGTAAGAACTAAAGTGACTAGAAGTGAAGGATGGGAGAGCCATCCGAATGGAGTAGGAGGAAAGAGTAGAGGAGCATGAGAAATTGCTGATACTGGAACGACCGAAGAAGTACTTTACAGTATACTTTGTCTGTTTAGAATACAGGGTGTTCCGAAACTACCTGACCCGGTGGGTATGGCGGTGTTCA